CTCCCAGTTCCTTCCTACCTCCCCTCCCATCTGGATCCACCTCCTTCCTGTCAGGCATTAGAAAACAAACAGGCTTCTAATGGAAAATAGTAAAATAAAACATAGTGAGAGAAAATAAAAAGACACACAGGAATAGTACAAAACAACAATCAGAAGAGAAAGAGTGCAAGAAAAGACACAAGAAACAGATATAGATGCAGAGACCTTTTGCTCACACACTCAGAGATAGCATAGAAACACAAAACTTCAAAACCATTAATATACACATAAAGATAAAACTCAAAATCAACAAATGAACAGTTTGAAGAGATAAGTAAACGCCAGCACCAAATGATATTGGAATCTACAGAGTATTTTATTTTATTTGTTTGAATTTTTATTGCTTTACCCTTTCTTATTTTTCGGAGAAAGGGTCTTGCCAAATAGCTAAAGTTGGCCTTGAACTCGCTATATAGCTGGTGCTAATCTTAAATTCACAGTACTTTTGTTCCTGCTACTTCCTAAATATAGAGACTGCAAATGTGTACCATCAAATGGCAAGGAATTTAAAATAACTAAGACTAATATGCTAAAAATTTTAATGGATAATGTAGACAATAACAAACAAAACTGCAAACCAATATTCCTAATGATCACAGATGGAAAAATACCTGTAAGGTATAAAAGAGAGAAAAAATAAATGAATAAAGATAAAATTTGAAAGAAAAAGTCCTGACATGACATTATAAAACAGGATTCACCAAAGATGCTATTGAGTTTGTTGTTTGTTGGTCACTACTGCAGGGCATGTGACCTATCCTGAAGAGTAGAACGAGATAGGACAGGGGCTTTGAATATTGCTAAAGAAATATGAAACAGAACTCTGAAAATTAAAGCTGAATTTAATTCTAAAGCCTCCTCATTCCTGTGGTCTAGCTTCCATGGTACAAGATAATAGGATGCAAGCTGCCAAGGTTGGGAAGCAATTAATTGTCTCAGCCAGCTATGACAACTATGAACCATATCAATGATTAGCCTGACAAGATATTCATAAAGATGTGGTAAGTGGCACTCACATGTTGGTGATAGCCAACTGCTGTCTAATTGGATTTAAAGCCCACTCAAGAGGAGGGAAATCAAGGCTGGTACTAGGAACCTAGCCAGTAATGTTCCAGGGCTAGTGAGGTCGTGGAGCTTAGAAGAGAATACACCACTGCCACTTTGTTAGGCAACATAATTACTAACTACATTCTAAATAATCTCTTTTTACTCACAGACAAGTGTAACTATCATCTGTGACTACAGACACCTCCTTTTACAACAAATGGAGACGATCAGAGACAACTGCAACAGGAAACAATGCAGAGATCAACAGCTCATGGGAGCCCCAGCCCAATGGACACATCTACATCACAGCTCTTGCTTCTATCACTCAGGGAACAATGCAGAATAGGTGGCTAACAGACTGTAAGAGTCAGAACACCAGGAAGTCTGCTGTGAAACATGTTTTCATAGAAATAGCTATATAAATAAGAACATCTGAACAATGGTACTATTAACAGACATGCTAACACAGACAGGGGCGGGGGGATCAAATGGGGTCACATTCCTGGACCAGGAACTATAGGCAGCTGATGACTGCTGAGAAAGGGAAAGTGCTTCCCCAGGGGCTGAGCCCTTTTCTGTTTCTTCAGCAAGAACCCTCATCGCTGGTATGAAGGCAGATCTGAAGTCACTGCTGGGCATTTTCTTACAAAATTGATCATACGCTTAGCATTGAACCACCAATTGTGTTATTGGTATTTACCAAAAGGAGCTGAAGATTTATGTTCACACAAAAACCTGCACATAACTGCTAACATTCAGAATCAACCAATATATTCATCAATTTTAAACTATGATACTTCCACACAAAGGAGTCTAATACAAACAAGGAAGGCATGGCCAAACCCCAAACAACTGAACAGAAACTATCTATTTGATGAAAGAGAACAGCATGAAAAAGCTATTATAATTTTTCTTATTTATAACTAGCAAGTCAAGCAATGGGTTTCATCACAGCTATTTTATGAGCACTTTCTTCTTACTGATGTTCCTCTACCACCTCCCATTACTCTATTCCTCCTACATATGAACAAAAACATGTTGTGTTTGTTTTTTCTGAATCTGCCTAGCTTTGTTTAGCATGATAACTGCCAGTTCAATCCATTTTTCTACAAGTGCAATAATTTAACTTTTCTTTGTAACTGACTAAAATTACATTTTGTGGATCTACCATATACTCTTTATCCATTAATCTGTTCATGGACATATACATTGGTTCTATTAGCTATATGAATAGGTGCATAGTCAACATGGATGTACAAGGGCCTCTATAGTAGTACTGATAGTCCTTTGAGTATGTACACAGGAGGAGTATAATGGGTCACATGATATTTCTACTTCTAGTGTTTTGAGAAACCACCATATTGACTTCCATGGTATCTACAGCAGTTTACACTCCCACCAACAGTGTATAAATGTTCCTCTTACACCATACCCTCAGTAGCATGCATCATTTTCCTGATGACAGCCATTCTGAAAGGAGTGAAACGGATTCTCAAAGCAATTTTACTTTGCATTTTAATGATAGATAAGCACTTCATTCTTGTCAAATAGACCAAAAATATACATTAGGACAAAAGACAGCTTGTCCGTAAATGAAGCTTGGAAAACTGGACAGATCCAAATGCAGAAGACATTAGGTACTTATCTCTAATCCTGCACAAAAATAAACTCCCAGTGGATCAAAGACCTCAATATAGGACCTTAAGCCCTGGAATTTCTGTGGGGAAACACTTGAAGATACAGAGGTAGGACAAACTTTCTTCAAGAGGACTCCAATTACACAGCAAATAACCCTAAAGTTAAGTGAAATTTAAAACTGTACAGCAAAGAAACTATCATCAGTGTGAACTGACAGCCTATAGGATGAGTGAAACTCCCAGCTATACTTCAGAGAGGGCTTAAATATAGAATATATAACTAACTTTAAAAATTAAAAACACAAAATAATCTGTCTGCCAATACATGAGCTAATGAATAGAATAAAGAGTCCTAAAAAGTAGAAACAAACACTCAGTAGAGATTCTTTTCAGGGTTTCACACATCTCATTACTATAGCTATGTGACATTCAGTGCCAAAAGCAAAGTTATGGAGATAACAAAAACTAAAAGTATTGCCCAGGAGTTGTAAGCCCTAGGATAGATGAAGATGCAGGAGACTCCCAGAGCAGTAAATATCTTCTGGTGGACATATGTCCCTATGCACAGGGATGTAGGGACATATGGGTTAGGAAACATAGAATTAACAGTGCCAACAGTGAAGCCTACAGAGCTATGAGCTTGGAATTATAGTGCACTACCATGCACTCCTCAGGCTAGCATATACACACCACTGTCTGTGGGATGTGTATCACAGATGAGGCTACATGTGTGTTAGGACAGGAAATACATGATAAATCTCTGTATCATTGTCTCTACTTTGTTGTAATCCTAAAACTGATCACAAAGAAGTTTTATAATAGAAGACTCAGAAAAATTACTTCTAGAAAATACCAATTAAATTTAAATTTTTTTCTATTAAGAAATTGTATCATTCTTACATTACTTAAGATTCTTGTTAGTAAGCTAGATTATATTTCATGATTCATTCTCACCGAAACCATACAGAATTCTTTTAAGGACTAGTTAGTGGAGGCTGAGTAAAAGCAGAGTCATCACATACTGTATTTACTTTTATTACTGCAAGCAAATAACCTTACAAGAATTTAACTTGGTTCGCTATTAAGGGCACAATACACTATGGCCCTGCAGGCATTGTGGGAAGTGCGTGTCACAGTGTGACAGCAGGAGCATGATGTTGTTGGGTTATATCTCCACGGACCAGGAATGACAGACAGGGCAGGAAGCAGCACCAACATACACATCCTGTGGCCCGCTGAGTTACTTGTTCACAGTATCTACAACTCCCAAAGACTGTACAGCCTCCCTACAAAACACCAAGTGTTCAAATATATGAGGTTTTTGTGGCACACTTCACAATAAAATCACAATTATACCTTACATTCTTGTTGATGACAGCCATAATAAGCAAGATAAGTATAAAATATCTGACTTATTGAATACTGATTAATATTACAAGTTAGAGAATGATATAGTGTTGATGGAAGACCTTTGAACTGAAGAGTGACCTTTTAATACATATAGATGGTGACATTTTAATACAGTTCAAAAGAAATAGAATAGAACAGGGATCTCAAGCTTGCTGAAGTGGGGGGAGCCTGGAACTTTCAAAGGCATGAGGGCCAAGCCTGGAACAAATGAATGAGGACAAGAGTAAAGAAGAAATTAGAAAGAAAACAAGGGGACAGGTACAGAAATTCTAGCTTGTTTCAGAGCTTTGGCTTTCAGCTTGAATAACTAGAGAGCCACTGACAGGCTATGAATCGGCAGTGGGAAGGAAAGTTATAGTCAAACCAGTAAGAAACTGACTTTATGCTACATTCCTGCTCTATAACTCCTTTGAAGCAATGTGTCAATAAATTAAGGAAAAGTAAATGTAATGTTGTATAGCTAATTTCATGTTTACTAATTAATATATTGTAACATTGATTAAAACCAATAAGTAATTACCAAATATTGTAATCTTCTAAAGTATAATAATGTACCAAGTATCAAGAGACTACACGCCAAATATGGTAATAAGTCGGTACACAGTAGTACAATATTATTTAACAAATAAGTTAAATAAAAATCCACAGCTTATGAATCTTGATTTATTTTAATATGTCTAAATTACACAGAATAAATACATGTAAAACATTTTCTCATTATAACTGTGCCCTCTAAAACAAAAAGCCATGTTCATAATCCAAGTTCATTGCTAGGAGCAAATAATTCAAACCAAGAAAAACAAAGTGAAATGAAACAAGCCACAAATCAAAACACTTTTTTCCAAATGTTTAATCAAGAAAACATACCTTACACTGTGTCCTTGATGCTGCCAAGTCTAAACTCTGGAAAGCAGCCAAACAGAGATGTTTCCCAAAGCAAGGTCTCAGAAGCTGTGCTGCATTCCAGGCAAACTCAATTTCAGTCACCAAAAATTACATTCTTGGTTGATTTTTCTTACTGTAATTTAAAATGAGAATACATGGACAAATTAAATGGATGATTTCCAGTTATCTAATTGACTAAAAACAAAACACGTTGAAGGGGCTGGAGAGAGAGGTAAGTTGGCAAGGAGCTTGCTGTGCAAACTTAAGGTCTAGACCTGGTTTCCGGAATACATGGAAATGCTAGGCAGAATAGGGGCCCATTAGAAATCTCAGTGCTGGGAAAAGAGAGAGAGGATATCACTAAGGCAAGCTGGCTAGCTGAACTAGACAAATCAGTGAGCTCTAGGCTCTAGTGTCCAACCCTATCTGGTCATATTATGTGGAGAGAATTGAGGAAGACACATGATGTCAGCCCTAAATGTCCAGATACACCCACACATGCACACAACCTCAAACATGTGAGCACACATATGAACAAAAATTGTTTAAAAATTAAAATGTAACAAAAAATGAGAGCATTTAGAGTTTCACATGGTTCTTTTTGTTTTATTCTTGGATTCCTGGTTTTCTGTTATCTATTCAACCTAAAACAAATTTAACTTCCTCAGTAAATTTGGAAAATAATGCATCTTCGTAAGTCACAATTCCCTAACAATACCTGGAAGAAGGTGCCTGATAGGAAACCATTAGAGAAATTCACTTGCTCTAATATATGTGTAAAGGTCATTTGAGAAATAGTGGGAGGTGTTCTACTATGTTCTAGAGCAAGGGTTCTCAACCTTCCTAAAGTCTATGACACATTAATACAGTTCCTCATGTTGTGTTGACCTCCAAACATAAAATTATTTTGTTGCTACTTCATAACAGTAACTTGCTATGAATCACAATGTACATATCTGTTATTCAAATATCTTGTATGTGACCATCAAAGGAGTTAAGACCCATGGGTTGAAAATGACTAAAGTCATGAATGAATGTATAGACTAATTTCAAATTATTTTTAGCTATTTCAAGTTGTATATCATTAACTCATAAAATAATAGCACTGAGTCATAAAGTTTATAGTGTATGTTACTTCCTAGGCACTTATTAAGAATAATAATAGAAAATAACCAAATATATATAATTTATTCATGTTTTGTTCAATATGTCACATATATATTATGCACCAAACTCTGAACTTTTCTATAGTTTACACAGAAATTACTCGTGTATAGATGAGAATCAATTTTTTTTTATTTTTCAGTTTAAATTTAGATTAGAAACAAGGTTGCTTCACAAGTCAGTTCCAGGTCCCGTGCCCTCCCCCCAACCCCCCCAATATCCCCTCATTTCCCCAGGGAGGGTGAGGCCCTCCATGGGGGTGTCCATAGTCTGTCATTTCATCCAGGGCAGGGTCTAGACCCTCCCTCAACAGTTCAGGGTGAGAGTGCTTCTCACATTGTTGGATGGGAGTCCAAAGTCCGTGTGTATACTCGGGATGAATACTGATCTACTGCCCAAGGCTCAATAGATTACTTAGGCCTCCTCACTGACACCCACATTCAGGGGTCTTGATCAGTCCCATGTAATTTTTGTGACTCCAAACTGCTTTCTAATAATACAAATAAAAACTAAAAGCAATATATTTAAAAATATGATTTTTAATTCCAATATTATCTATATAAATATCCTACAATTTTAGGTAACACTCTTAAATTTTGTGTGTATGTGGGTAGGTGGATATTTGTGTGAGCACACACACACACACACACACACACACACACAAGTATGCATGCAGACAAGCACAGACATGTGAGTGAGGGTGCCTGTGAAAGTCAGAGGGCACACCAGATCCTCTGAAGCTGGTATGGTAAGCCACCCAGTATGGGTCCTAGGAACTGATCTTCAGGACTCTGCAAAGGTAGAAAGCACTGTTAGCTGCTGAGTCATCTATTCAGCCTGGGAACTTTTTATAAATACAGATAAGAATTTGAGTCAAGAGTTGTAACATGAAAAATTGTTTTTTTTAAATAAATAGTGCTATTACAGAATAAAATTTAATGCTTATCTCATACCACAGACTAAAGATAACAAAAATTAAATCATAGCCCTGAATTTAAGGACTAGTATTATAATATACTTGAAAAAAACATCTAAGATAAACTTCATGATTTTCAGCTGCAAAACAGTGTCTTAGAAACTAAAAGCAGAGTAAACAAAAAACTTAACTACAATTAAACTATTATAAGCTTCAAAGAACAAAACAGTAAAAGATAACCCATACAATACAAGAAAACACTTACAAATCAGTTACTGCATACAACTTTTGTACTATTTAGCAATTTAAAAAATATTAATAGAATTTTTCAACCATCAAGTATTTGAAATGGCGTTTTTACAAAGTTTTTCAAATTTACAACAAGCACTTAAAAAGATGTTCAACATCATTACTTATTATAGGAATTCAGACCAATGACACATTTCTTTCACCTCTGCATAGGTGATTATACCAAAAGAAAAACATTGGCAGTGGAAGGAGATAGTAGATGACAGTGAAGAGACAAGAACCTTTGTGTTCTATTTAGGAAAGTAAAAGAGTGGACTCATGAATTAAAGAGCAGTCTGTAACTGCTCTCAAAAACACAACATTTCTGCTCCTGTGTGTACACTCAGGAGAAGGGAAAGCATCTCATCACAGTACATGTGCATGGGTCTTCAGAACAGAATTATGTAAACAGCTGCAAAGAGAAACCAACCCCCAACGCATGGACTGAAAAGTCAAGACACATCCACATAATGGGGTATTAGTCAGAAAAAGAATTGAATGCTGATGCATGCCACGATGTGGATGATCTTAGAAAACAAGCTAAGTGAAACACAACAGGCAGAAGAGCTCACTAATTTTATTGTATCAGTGCTATTATTCACTTTACATGAACTATTCAGAGTGGGAAAGCCAATAGAGAGATTCAAAAGATTGAGGGTGGCTTAGTGTAGAGGCAGAAGAGATAAAGAGTGATTTCCAACAGAGAAAAATTTCAAAATTAGTGTTAATGGCTGCACAGTTCTGTAAACATTCTAAACCTATTCAGATGTACCATTTTTAAAATGGCAAATCTTATGCTACTGAACCATATTCCTCAATGTGGAGTTTAAAATAGTGTCATAATAGTCCATTCTGTTGTACTTATCTAAAAACTTGGGTCACGTGTGTTTTAGAAGCTTTTAAATTATGTAAAGGTAACATTGCCATCTATCATAATTGTGTATGTGAAACACCTGGAGAAAGCAAGGATGAACACTGAAGAAATCTCAAGCCCAATGTCAGTTCATCCCTGGCTGTCACCTCAATCACAGTTTATGCAAAGCTCCGGAAATGATAATTTAATGGGACTATTGAATTTTCAAAATGTAAATAACAGGTACTGGAGACTTATAAATGATGGTGAAATTAGTGATAATATTGAGCAGTTGGCATTTGTAAAATGGCAGTTATGGCAAGCACTGTGATTATGTAATCAGCTGTACAGTCAGAACTTGTCTTCATGTCTCTCTGGAATAAGTACAATTAGCTGCAACTGAAGAAATGGTTCCCTAAGGAACCCATAAGTGACCCACTTGAGCACTCTACCTTGACAGGGAAAAGGGCTGAAATCTGTATTGAGATCTATCCACAGACTTTACTCTTTACAAGGAACACTGTGGTCTGAGCTTTTGACTGATAATTCATCAGTAAAGAGGAGAAAACAACTATGAGATGAAAAATAAATACCAAGGTATATATAAATAAGATAATATTATCCAGAAATTGATTTCATTATCAACTGAACCAGTATTAAAAATGAAGCACAAGAGCACTCGGGAGGCAGAGGCAGGCGGATCTCTGTGAGTTCGAGGCCAGCCTGGTCTACAGAGCGAGTTCCAGGACAGCCTCCAAAGCCACAGAGAAACCCTGTCTGGAAAAACCAAAAAAAAAAAAAAATTAAGCACAAGTAGTCAAATTCCCCACAGGGACTGATATATCAATTTTATCAAAAGGAATGCTAAGCATTAGATTAGAGATTGCATTATCCACATCTAAACTATACAATTTGATACCTTGCAAAATTTTGGCATCTTTGTCAAAAATCAGATGCTCATAGTGTGGGGATTAATATAAGGGTCTTCAATTTGATTCCATTGGTCCCATGTCTGTTTTTATGCCAATACCAAGCTGTTTTTATTACTGTAGCTCTATAGTAGAGTTTGAAGTCAGGGATGGTGATACCTCAGGAATTTCCTTTATTGTACAGGATTGTTTTGGCTTCCCTGGATTTTTTATTTTTCTATATGAAATTGAGCATTGTTCTTTAAAGGCCTATGAATCAACAAGTAGTGTTGGCATAAGTGAATGTCTACATGTAGAATACAAATATATCCATAGTCCAAGTGGATAAAGACCTTAAAATAAATCCAGTTACACTGAACCTAATAGAAAAAAGTGGGAGGGAGCCATAAATACATGGGCACAGGAGACTACTTCCTAAATAGAGCACCAGTAGCAAAGTCGCTGAGAGCAACAATCAATAAATGGGACTTCCTGAAACTAAGAAGCTTTTTTAAGGCAAAGGACATGGTTAACAAAACAAAACAACAGCCTGCAGAATGGGAAAAGATCTTCCCCAACCCCACATCTGACAGAGTGCATATCTCCAAAATACACAAAAGAACTAAAGAAACTAGACATCAAAATACAAAATAACCCAACTGAAAAATGGGGTGCAGGTCCACAAGGAGAATTTTCAACAGAAGAAACTCAAATGGTCAAAAGACATTAAAGGAATTTCTCAACATCCTTAGCCACCAGGAAAATGCAAATCAAAATGACTGTGAAATACCATCTTACAACTATCAGAATGGCTAAGATCAAAAACACTGATGGCAGTCTGTGTTGGAAAGAATGTGGAGTAAAAGGAACCCTCCTTCACTGCTGGTGGAAGTGCAAACTTGTACAGCCAATTTGGAAATCAGTATTTTCTCAGAAAATTGGAAATCAAGTCTACCTAAAGTCCCAGCATACACCCAAAGGACATACAATCATACCACAAGGAC